TAAAGAAGAAGTTATATTTGTGTATTGCACAATTGGCAATAAAATTCGTATTGAAATCAGATGCAAATCGAACGCAGGAGTTTAGCAGGTTCATTGATCTGCATTCGAGTCTTCGATTTGGATTTTCGTCGCATTCGCATCGAATGCGGTCGCTGGCTGGCTTTAAAACGACGGTAATTTACTGTTTGCTTGTAAATTGAACAATGGTATACTAATTGCCATTTAAGTGTCAGTTGTGCTCACAAACCGCACAATTCGACCACCATTTACCGCACCGCAAGTTGGCGCGCATATTTCAATTTTTAGCTTTCATTTAATTTTTCATCACACGCAACTGAATAATGCATTTTATGACTTTTGATACTTTCCCGGTATGCTAGTGCACTTTTGAGGTTAGAAATGGACTGTAGTAACGAAACAATGAAGTCTCGAATGAAGGAAACATATGGAAATGCGCTGGAAAAGTGGAAACTTTCGCCGTTTGCGTACTTTTCGGGGCCGGCAAAGCTTTTGTATCGCCGCCACCGGTGTGAATAAAGTTAACTGTTTCGTCGCTGCGAGCGCGGCGCGTGCACGAATGCGGCGAATAAAGGAAGTCGAAACGATGCAAAACTATCTTTTCGTGCTCGGGAAATAACGCTTCATGTTTGTGGATGGGACCGGGCGAGTTTTTCGCCGCTTTTTCGAGTTCAAAATTAAAGTTGGAATGTTTATTTTACGAGAAAAACTAAAATGTGCAGCAAATATCTAAATTTAAGCCGCAACTTTCGAATTTACTTGCTGATTCTATTTATATTGCGGAGCGCGGTCTGCGTTGATGATAAATTTCATTGTAAAATTTACGACAAGCGAATTAAAATCACAGAGAAGCGAAAATATCACCAAGATATAATAAAATGCAATCGTAAAATGTTTCATAAAGTGCAGTATACCTTCTTGACTGCTGCCAATTCAAAACAATAATACTCGTATAGTAGAGTAGTGCGATGACATTCAACCAAAAATTGAAGATCTCAAGAAAACATCAGATAATAGTAACTTCTCTTTGCGTTCCCCTTAGTGAGGAAAATATAATGCGCACGTAAAAACCATCAAGTGCCGAAAGATATCATCCGAGGGGAAGGAAAATCGCTGCGAGTTGCGAAGAGTTGTGAAGCACGACTCTTTACGTATTCATTGCTTTATTTCAATGCAATTATCCTCGGATTTGCATAACTGCTGGCAGTAAATCATAAACAGAGTTTAGTGCGCGCCCACGACAAGCAGCAACGAGGGACCCGGGACGGTTTTCCTCGTAAGAATTGTAAATCGTTACAAAAATACAAAAAAATTGTACAAAAAATTCAATTTTCTTGTAACATACGCAACGAAAGCAGGATTAAGAAGCACATCCTATTGTTATCCGGTGTTATTCCTTGTTATTCTATGATCGTACGTTATCGCATGTTATTGTCCTCAAATTGAAGCATAACAAGGTGACACGTTTTCGTTTCTCACCCTCGAAATATTCTCTCTGAATGGAGGCTTGAATTATCTCACAATTGACTTTTAGAGGACCATTCGTCTATGAAGTGACGCAGAAACGTTTTCATTCTTAAAAACCCAAGACGTTTACGAGTCACCAAATAATAAAATATAAAAAATATAATAAAATGATTACTTTTAGTGGAAATATTTTTATATTTTCGAAAATTTACATCATTAGAGTTTGCTTTTATGTTTTCACGGCGCGCACAAATAACCCCCAGCCCAAAATGTAATTTAAGAAGCGAAATGCACACAAATATAAATATAGTCGGAATAAAACGCCAAACTGCGGCGATAAATAAATATAAATCGCTCCCGAATAAAACATTCAGCATTCAGCGAATATAAACAAACAGCAAACAGCGCGCGCCAACGAAATATTCGCCAACACCAAGTGTTCGAAATGCACGTAGAATTTTTGGCATTCCATCGAAACGAGCAAAACGCGCCGGCGGTAAAAAGTATTTATGAATCTCACGTACTCGAACGCGCTGGCAAACACGATTTCATAGTTCCGACCGTTCAAAAACCCGCCCTCTAAAATACTCGAGAGATTCTTCCTGAGGGGGTAGGTCGCATTCCCGTATTTACATTCGTATTCACATTCGCGTACAAGCCTATTTTGAGCGGGCGAGTGACGAAAAACTGCCCGGCACAGCGGAATTGCGAAATTTCACGAGACGGGTTGTGTTTGCGGTCGCCTCCACCACACACCCACACAAAAGTCCACGCCGCGCAAAAATGCCGCCGGACAATGATTATCGTGCCGAAATAAATAAATATTAGGAGCGTACATGGAAAAAAACGAGCGCTTTTTCATAGTTAAACCTGGTGGAAATGAGTTTTTATCAATGCCACGCCACGTGCACAACACGCAAAAGTCACCGGACTTCACAAGTGCGCAAAAAGCGCAAGATAAATAAACCTCAAGTTTTATTAAATTTTTTTCCGCGAACATTTTTAGTGGGCAAATCTTTTTGTCTACGGACCGAAATATTTTTTCATTATTTTAGTTTCTACCAGTTTTATTCCGGTGGATATTAAATATGATATTAATATAAATATTTTATTTTTGCGGCGTGGATACGTGTGGATTTTGCATTTTGTTTTTATTTAATATCCTTTTGGCTTCGCAACTGGCGAATGCCAGTCAGTTAAAGAGCTAAAGTCGAACATATTTTCTTTCAATTTCGCTGGAATTATGAGCGTTTTACGTTTTGCGCGTGCTGTGATTAATTAATTTTCGGCAGAAAATCTGCGACAGCGAAATTTCGGTTCTTTGTGCGGCCGGGGAATTCTCATTTTTGATTTGGGTATTTTACACTTCACAAATATTCATTTTAATTAATTTCCAGACGTAATATTAAATAAATAATGATATAATCTAGTTTGAATGTAGACAAAAAGATATCTACTTAACATGATACAAATTATTTCAACTTCCTTATTGCGTCGCTTGTAAATAACGCGCATAAAACAAGTTTTCAATAAACACGTACTCAGTGCAAGTGCATGCGATCGACGAATAAATTGCACACTTTACACACGCCGCATTTTCCGCTTCAAAGTCTTCCTTATCATTACTTATTGCAGAACATCACGATCTCTGCGATTATACGCCATTTATAAACGCAGTTATGCACATACAAGCCCAGCGCGCATGATTATAGAGTCACGAATAATTATTGCGTCAAAAGCATTTCGATAACTGTGATCTATTTTAATTTACTGCAATTTTTCCCCGCAGCAAGTGATTGCTAATCGATTTTCTTGTCTAACGCTGACTAAGCAACAACTCTCTGTAGCTATCTGTAGGTTATACTCACAGATAGTTAGCTGGTGGCAACCGACGTCTTGCTTTCAAGTTATTACGCTTGATTAAGCTGATTGAGATGAAGATGAGGTTGTGGAACTCTGAGCAAACGTTTGAAGCTGTATCAGATCCAATAACATGTACACGTTTTAATTAAAAGGATTTTTAACGATGTTGCGGCGAAATAAAATTTCAAAAATTGCATTTCTTGGCTTTGTCAGTGCGAATATGTGAATATTAGTCTATGGTAGCAACCCTACATACATTCCTATTGTTTCAAAACCGCTATTTCCAATATGACTTCCGGCTAGACCCTTTGCGCAATTTTCGCAATTGCACTTGCACATGCTGCGTGGTTCTGGTCTGCACTTGTCGACTTTATTACGATTATGATTTTCCACGATTTCCGTACCATTGTGAATGGTAGCGCGTGCACGTACCGGGGGCAAATCCCCCCTTGGGTAATAAAAAGAGTTACAAAGCAAATGAATTCGAACGGTCACCACTGCGCACACCACTCTCGGACCTCGGGGCCATTAAACGGATAGCTGGGATACCGGGGATATGAGATATTCGCGGATATATCCATTGCTGACCGACAGTTGTAAGGATTATTTAAATAGTGCCCAGCTTGACCGAAGCCCCAGGATCTTTTTTATTTCGCTTCTTTGTTTTATTATTAAAAAGTAAGCGAAACCGTTATGATGCCGTTTTTATTTTATTTTTTATTTTTTATGACAAAACGCTGATAGAAGAGGGTTTTGTAAGACCATAAAGTGCACGAGAATTTGTTAAATTACGCACTCAAAGAGGTTGCAAACGTTTTATCTGCGATTCAATGTATGAATCTTTAGAATCAGGTGAATAAAAAGCTCCACGTCCGAAATCTGCAGCACGCTTGTGGTTTTAACCATCGCGAGCTTCGAGTTGAGAATTTAAAATCCTCCGAGATGGAATAAAAGCGCGCGTGTATGATAGCGTTCCGCGTTAACTCTTGCTTCTGCTTTTTGAGCGGATAACGGGGGGTTGGTTTGCACTCGAGCGGAAAAGTAGCTATTTCGTATTGCGCGTATTTAACGAAACGCTCCAATTTGAACACCGACCTCGGCAGTCGCGCTCGTTTCCAGCCCGCACCAACTGCCGCCAACTGCGGCACAACCCTCACCGAAATAATTTCACAAAATTCTATATTTCAAGGACACAGAAAAAGAATAAATCCAAATGTTTAATTTTAAAAGTTTAAAGTTTAAGTTTAGAATTAATTCTAAATCTGCAGTAGAAAGGTTTGTAAACACGATGTTTCGCACCCGACACGCAACGTATGATTAACATTAAGAATGCTCAAACGAACCCATAGTTATGCACCTAGTGTGCACACTGTTCACGCTTACATTCATATCTCTGCAGCTTTAACTAAAACTCCCAACAACTGTACGCGCTGCAATTCGCAGTCCTCGTTTGCATACATTTCTTACTCGCATCGCTGGGCATGTTCAACACATGTTGAATATGGTACGGAATGTTGCACATTGTGCGCACTAACCAACATTAGACATATTAGATACAGAAATCTGCAAGTCTAGATTTCACAAGTTTTCCTCACGCGAATATTCCGGCTTCACGACGAAGTCAAATGTAATTAATATAGTGTTTCACTTACAGTTTAGATCCAGGCTGATTGAACTGGATTTCGGGGCGACCAGATTGTTGTTGGAGGCTTGACATGTCAGCACGGTATGTAGGTGTTTTCTTTGGAGTTTATCGATGTGCAACACATTGCGCACACGACGCTCGGAGAGATATTCAAATGAGTCGTCCAGGAGTGCATTTTCCTGCCACCAGGTGACCTTTGGAGGTGGCCGACCTAAATATTAAAGAGATTTTTGTTAATCTTGATATAAATCAGTCTTTAAAAGCCTTTGCACTTGTGCTAACACTTTTCATGGACTTGGAGAAACATATGGTACCAGAATAAAGAAAATGGAAAGGAAAAAGCACATCTGAGGAGCTAGGGGCGAGGAAATTGTGTTAGAGTGTGTCCTCACTCACCTCCGATGGCGACGCAAGTGATATTAATAGAGGCGCCCTCGTTGTACGGGCCAAGGATGTAGTTCTTCACGTTCTGCTCGCCATGCTCGACGATCTTTATCGTTTCCGGCGGGACTGCAAACACAACAAGCGCCGCCGGTCAGTACAGCAAGGAAAACAACAGACAAAAAAATTAAATCAACCCCGGCGACAATTTATTATTGCACTCAGGGTCCAAAAGTCGGAAAACAACTGTTTCGCACTTAGTTAATGATGATTTAGTTCAATTTCAAATATTTTTTACATCAGATTGCTAGAAATATAAAATTTTGAACTCGAAACTCGTGATTCCGACAAGTTTCCCATATATTTCCACACAGCCACCCTAAAGTACGTACAAATATACGAGCGCTTTACATACACCCTCATATATCTATATAATGTGTCCCTATATAGAGCTGCTACCCATCTTATGCATACCTGATGCCTGATACGCACGTTGCACTAATCGTAAATCATAAATATCACGCCGTGGGAATATTTATGAACGCGTATATCTCGTTACATCTTCTCACTGCCTAAGTGAGCAAATATGAACATTTAACAAGCACTGCCAAACTCGGCATTTTACACAACCTATAAATAGTTATATTGACGAATTATGCGCAATAAATAAATAAATTTATATTTATACGAACCTAAATACACTAATATATATCTGCATGCTTGAGTACGGTGGTAAACTAACTTATTACTAGAATATTTCTGATGTAATTGATGTGTAACGAATGGAAAATTAGTAAACGTGTTGCTTTTTCTTTGTTCTTTGTGTGAATGCACGCGCGTAACTTGGCGTCAGTTGGCGAGTTTGCGCAAAGCAACAAACCGAAAAACAAGTTGCCTACAGTTGCAACAAAACAACAACTCCACCTCACTGCGTATTCTAAACGCGTCTACATTAGATAAGAAGTCAAATTAATATCAGTAATAATAGGAAGTAATATTTGAATTAATTCAAAATTTAATCACTTTAGAGTTTGGCTTATCGCGTTTAACGGTCGTTTTACGCCCGGGAACATGCGGTGCATAGTTTAAAATTTCCTCATCACGTTTCTACATTTTGAACGTGTAATTTTGTTTTAGTGCTTGCGCAAACGCACAATTGAATTTCGCCCTACGTTTTTTTCCTACTCGTGCCGACGCGTTTTACGAATCGCAAACGTCATGCTTTGATGTCTCGACGGTGCGCCATTAAAAATCTGTTAAAAGCCGTCGATTTGATTAATTAACTCCGACGGCAACCGCCCCCAAAGCGACGAAGACTGGCGGCGCGTAGGTCACGTAACAATTAAGTGCAATTAACGCTCTCGCTCTTCAGTACGCAAATTTTTACTCGCACACCGAAAAAAAAAGAAGAAAAGACGAAAAAATTGGCTCGGAAATTTATTTGAAAACAGCAACAAAACAAAATTTGGTAGAGTTATGAAATTAATTTAATAATCAACAACCAGCAACAATCTAACCCATAAGGTTTTGAGCGTTGTTAATCTGGTAGACACCAGAGTTAATCTGCTCAACGATGGCTTGGACCTGGGAAGCGATTTGTTTGAAAGTTTCGCTTTCCTTCTCGGCGATAAGGACTTGACGAATGGCTTCGATGATTTTGTTCCTCAACTGCTGCAAGAAAGGTTTGGTAAGACGGGCGACTTCCTGGATCTGGGGCATGACGGTGATCAGTTGGGCACCACCTTGCTGGACAGCGTTGATGACCTGGGCCACTCCGGTGGCGCTAAGGGCCTCGGTGGAGGGCATGGCGACGATGGCCACAAGGGCGAGGAGAATGAAAAGCTTTGCCTACGTTTTTTTCATTACGAAAATAATTAGAACCACACAAGAAACAACTTAACTTAAGTAAGTTAAAGCTAAGTCAAAAGTCTTACCATTTTAGAGGATTTTTGTTAGTTTATTTGAACTGATTCCTAATTCGCCACTGACAAGTATTTATACTAGTTGCACAGAATGGTTTAGCATAAATTTGAATTTCGAAAAATGAATATGGAAAATTCGGCCACATTTTCAAAATTATCTATTTTAATTAGCAAACAAGGTGCTGTTGACAATTGATAAGCCGGTAAAGTAATAACTAATGCGTCATATTCTCAGTTGCAAAATAAAAACACAGTCTAATATTAATTATTTTAGTGTTTTTATCATTCAAACAACCTTCAACCCAAAAATTTGAAGGTTTGGACGTTTTTAAACTTCGTTCAGGATTACTATTATTACTATTTGTAATTTACGTTGCACAAAAGATGCATCCCTACGATGAAAAGCCCAAAACGAAAAAGAAAACGAAAACGAAGGAGAATCTCGGATTCGCGCTGCCGCTGATATCGGATTAAGTTTATTATTGCAGTCGTACGAAAGTTTTAATTAAATTTCAACATGCCGTTGAAGATTCAAAAAAAGGAACCTTGTTAATGCGCCCCCGAAAACATCCAAATTGAATACCATACTTACTTATAACTGTCAGATTGACCTTGACAATCCTCGTCGGCGTTTGTTTGAAATCCACGCGACAGTTGTACACCCCCGAGTCGGAATCCTTCACACTATCCAAGGTCAACTTAGCCGGATGGTCCTGATACCGAAAGAATCCTCTCCCGCCCAAGACTTGCTCATCAGACCAGTGTTTTCCTTGCTCTAGAGGTTTATCTCTTGCGTCATACCTGCAACCAAATATACACAGCTTAAATATTCATGTCATCAATCATTTGAACTTTCCAAACATAATGTTTTCATTCCATACAACATTAAAACGCTAGCAGATGGCATCTATTGCCGATAGCATGTGCAGCCTGCATTGTGCATATTAATATTAAATGGGTGCGCGCTACTAATGAATCTAATTTTGCGCTGTAATGCGTTTAGTCGAGTCGTTTATAAATGCGCGCGCGTTCGCATCGAATTAAAATGCTCACGCGCACGAGCAGGCGAACGCATGTCAATGCATGCAAATGAGGATTTAATGAGCCCTTTATAATTCAATTAATTATGATGTCGCGCGTGGCGCCGCGCAAACCTCAATATGGTCAGCGCTGTGCTAAAGGCGATGAACGCTCAAAAATAGCTGGATACAATCAATTAAGTCTCGTAATAGTCGCGTATTTGTTCAGATGGAAACAAGTCATGTGATTCAATTGCACGCGTAATCACATCTGGTCAATATGTGAGGTTAAACTCGTCGAGTTGAAAGATTTTGAGGTTAAACTAAATTAGACTTGATGGTTTCGTGTAACTTCAACTCTTTCGCTTCGGGTTACACATGGTCGAAGCAGAAATCAATTCAATATTTCTGATTGCAGGGAGTTTCCCAGTTACCTCCTTCAACATTTCATTCCGTTACTCCTCGAGGAGTGGCGGTAGATATAGGTTAGGTATAGGTGTATATATAGGGGGTGTAGTTGTATTCAATTGGATACTATATCATAAGTTTCCTATTACACGCTTGGCAGGTATATTTTACCAATAACCATCTTCATTGAATCTCGCTGGGATTTCCGCTTCGACCGGTCCGTTCTACTCGGGGTTTCCTTGAATTTTCTATCCACCGTTCTGCCGGCAAACTCCCAACTTGTGGATATTAGTGTTGTATATTGGCAGGGCTGGTATTGGAAACCAGGGGTATTAAAGAATAAAGACGTGAAAGTTGGGAATGAGTGTGGAGTTGGTTCTGTTACGCAGAACACCAGATAGCAAGGGAATTTGTTTCCAGCCTGTTGGGGGCTTAATTCATCTTTTCTGACGTTTACGAGGAGATACTCACACCTAACCAATCGGAAAGGTGTTAAATAATCACTTTTATTGCGGGGGATCTTTTAATCAATAAAATGGAAGCAGAAATATCATTTTTACAGGGTAATGCCCTTTTTATCGACTTTCAAACACACGCAAAACATGTTAAAATGAATAATTTATTAATAAAAAAATATTTTCCGTGATCAACTGAGTGTGGAATGATCAAGTCATTATGTACAACAAACAGGTTTCCGGGTCAATTTCGTTTTGTCTTCATTTCATCGGCTTGGTTGGCGCTCATTTTATTACCGGTTAGCAATTTGCGTGCGGGCACTAATGTGATCGTGTTTGTTTGAATTTTAGGGCTTGTTCCGTTTGTTAGCTCAGGCCATTATTGGGTCATGCTTCAACCCATCGGCCGAAATCGATACCAACGCTCACTCCGCGCCGGAACAAAAACCAAAGTAATTACTTAATTAGCATTTTAAATGGTTGTGCGAGCGAAACAAATTGCTAATAAAATATTTACATTTCCGGCGTGTAATGCTTATAATGCTTATAATACTCGTTGTCGTGTTTGAACGCCATTTCTAGTGTTTTATTTGTAAGCACCAAATGGAGTCGCACACTTTGTGCACACAAAGCAAATACAAACAGAAACGATTTCGAATCGTGATGCAAGAGAGCGGAGAGAGCATTGGCATCGTTATCGCCGGCGTTATCAAATCGAGTCGACTTTTCAAGTGATGTGCATGTGGAATTGCAGCACACAAAAGCAGAGGCAGAGATGTTGATGTTGTATTGCTGATGTTGCCGGATGCGGAGTTTACCGAGTTGAGAGGTCGTGTGTGCGCGCACACTCGTTGATGATGATGGATTTGATTAATTAAGATGTAATTACGTACACACGCGTGCGTGTGACAGAAGTTACGGCCGCAATGCACGAATTGAACGAAAACGCGAAACAACTCGCTACTCCACGCCCGCCCACGCTGCTGTTGTTGTTGTTGTGCTGGAGAGTGCAATTGCAAGCGCTAATAGAGTGCCATCAGTGATGATACAGTGCACATCATCACGACTTGACATGACGTGACGTACAATAAATCTTGTGATTTATTAAAAAACAAATCTACCCAACACAACACAAAAACAACAAAAATAAATTTTTGCATCTACAAGTAACGCCATCTATGAATCAAAAATTAAATTAAACTAGTGTGGATTATGATTATTACACATTCATAGTATTCACACGATAATTATCGCTATTAACGTAAAGTGACAATTAGCGCAATTGCTCTTTAGCGCAGTTTAAATCATTTATCATCGGCGCCGCTCGTAATCTAACGTGAGCATTATTTGTAGCGTTCGCCGTTTGCAAATTAAGTAATGCAATAACAAACCGTATTACACACGTTATTGGCAAACATTGCAAATGGCGAATCAAACTGCAAACGCGACATAATCGCGGCGAGCAGCTGCTGCGAGTCGAATTAAACTCCATGAACATGATAAACACTCTAGTTAATCAAGTGCCGCCGAATACGAAACGCAAATATACTCCTGGAGTGCGCAACAAATAAAGTTCCCTATTCAACTTTTGATTTTGTTTAATTACTTGTGGAAAAATAACGTTTTTGATTAAAATCTGAGCAATTGCGGTGCGTTTTTTTTTTTCTTCCTTTGCTTCTTCTTCAGCTTTCAGTGACTTGTTGACTCGGCCTCGGCGAAATTCTTAATTTTTGCTTTCAACTCCTGACAAATTCCAGATTGTTCTGTGTAATTATAATTACAAATCTCTTTAATGTTGCTCGCGACGAAAAGGAAGCGAATTCGTTCTATTTTTGCATTCGCGCTTCTGTCTTTGCACCGCTCAACACCCCCATGGCATTTTTTCGTCCTCGCATACCCTTTGTGCCCTTCTCCTATCTCATCTTTCAAAAGCATATTTTTTTCCCAGCGACAAAAGCCCAAAGAGAAGCGAAAGAAGGCAAAAAACGCAGCAACAAAAAAATCTCGCGCAACCTCTCAACCCTTCTCGCATTTGAAGATGTCGCACTCGAAATTAGAGTTATAATTAGAAGCGCAAAAGTCGTAATCAAGACGACTGGCGGGGGCTTAAAAACTTGAAAACGCCAACAGGGAAAAAATCGCAATGCGAAAAAGCGAGGCGAACAGAGTGTGGGATTGTGGGAATGGAAAGGAAGTGGAGGACATCGGATTTTCCCGCTTTCAAACCTGGTGGCTGGTGGCTCTCCATGGGGAGATGTTGGAAGTTGGTGGCAGCGTCTGTTTGGTTCTTAACGTTCCTAATGCTCTTGACATTCATGACATTCAACCCCTATTTGCTTCCAACGACAACAAGCCTCTTGATAGAAATATGTACAGATACACAGGCAGTACTCAAACCCAACAAAAAATCAAATCCTATTATAAAACCTTCACCTTCAAGTATTTTCAATAAACCAATAAAAAATTTAAAAAAAAATTAAATTTAAAAAAATCATTATAAATATTTTGTTACACCCTGTATATTTTTTGTGAACTATAGATGAAGAGCAGATGCAAAGACCAATAAAAGGTAAAGAACACAAATATAAGGGCTGAAAACAATGCTTGAACACGTTCTTCATTACTTTCAGTTAGCTCACGCCCCAAACAACTTCCCACATAACCATATCTACCAAAAACCTAACCTTAAAATATAAAATGTCTTCCAGAGTTTATACATAACCTAATTTCTTTAAATTTCAAGGTCTAAACGTAATTTACGCAGTGGTTTGGTTTAAAAATGCAAAAATGTGCCATTTGGGTGTAGTATACTTACGAATATATGGGCGTCTTGCGTCCGGTACCCTCTTTGAACCAGATGGCAATGTGCATCTTGTCTCCGGGCAGAGACGGTGTGATGTCGCAAGGCATTTTGGCAACGTTACCCTGCACAGCTTCCACTTCAAACACTGCACTTGCTGTAACAACACAGAAAAAAAGTTAATTAACTTAATTATCAAAACTACACCATTGAGATTACATCGAGATTTTTTTTCTGGGTCTGTGCCCAGAAATTTTACATCAAGTTAAACTTCAACAACCAGAAATGAATATATTCCACCACCGACTCGCTGCGGACAATTACCTAAAGCGTCGGGGCGAAATTTAACACGAACTAGTATGAAGCAGATTCCCCAGAGTGCGAACGCCCCGATCACCGAATCACGAAACAAGGCTAATTGGTAATCATGGTAGTGAAGCCGGAGCGGACACCGATCCGAACGTTATTGGCGCATTACGAAGACACAACTTCGATATTAACCACACTTATAATGAGCGTCGGGACGTGGTGCTACGTGCCGGGCGTGTGGGGACACGTGCGAAGCGGACCATCTCTGACCAAGTTACAGATCCATGTCCATTAGATCCCTACATGTTCTACATGTCCGATTGTGGAAATTGTATTAAACCGAGGGTGAATTAGGCAATATGCACAAATTGATAATACTAGCATCTCTGGATGTTTCAGGTTGGATAAAAATAGACTTTTAAAATTTGTTTTGTTTGGCCTGGATGCGCCTCTCATCCCACCTGAGATTTCAGGTTGGCGTGAATAAAACATGCACATTTTTCGCATCCTCGCATCCTTTTACTTTCGACGCCCTTTCGCTTCCTGCTCTTCCGAGGCGCCTACTTTGTTTTGCTATATTATGCATATTGCTTTCGACGCCCATCAGCAGCCGGCAACAGCCATAACATCAACATTACAAGCTATAAAGCTAAAAGAAAAGGTGAAGCTGCTGTTTTCGTAGAAAATATACCTACACCATGCACGCCAAACAGGATACTCGAAAGCATTCTATCTATAATGTGAAATAAAAGCATTCTTTATTACATTACCGACTGCACTGAGATGATTTTAGCGAAATGTCGGTGCGGAAATCTTAATTTTGTTGCGAAAGGAAATTTGAATGCCAAGCTGGCGCCAAGTCTGATCGAGGTCAAAGGAAGTGGCAACTATGCGGACTGAATTTCACACCAGACCAAAGGTAGACCCTTTAAACTGCAATTTATAGTTTCAGACACGTTTGCCAATGCTAGCCAAACGTCGAATACATGATTAGATCAAAACCTCATCGACTCACAACTTCAAAATCCGAATCAAACTTAGAGTTGATTTCGACGGGCAATACGCACGAGTTTTAAATCGATAATCCTTGTTAAGCAATAACAAGCAGTGACATGCGGTATAATCCTGGACAGAGATTAATCACTCATCCAGCGTGTGCATAATTTCCACACACACACAGCCCGAGAGAGAGGCTGGGCGCGCATTTTCCCTGGACTGGGATAATTTCAACGCAATGTGAATCACGCTGCAAAATGCATGACATATGAACCAATTTCAGCGGCGCGCAAAATGAGTTACACACACCCTCAATTCCCGAAATCCAAACTCGGATCCGCAATAATGTAATATTCCTTCTACTTCTACTTCTGCTGGCAGAGTGCGCGTGCATAATAATCCGAATTGTGGCGTTCGAAATTTGCGCAATTCGCCAGTTGCAGAGATCTTGCAGATGAGCGCGTCGCCCGAGGCCAGTTTCACTCCCGAAATCCACGCGCGGGTAACGAGTTGTAAGTTGTAGTAAGTAGGAATCGGCGGAATGGAAGTCGTACGTTTTGCCAAAAAGCAAGAAAAACACACACTTACACTTCCCCAGAATACATACGACGAGTTTTTGGGTTTGGCACGCGCACAAAGCGAAAAACGTTTCGATTTCGATGCCAATTTTCCATCCCGAAAACGCAGAAGACGGCGAAGAAAAAAAACAACGTACTTTTCGAGATGATTTAATGATATTACTCACAGTCATATTCAATCAACCATGAAAAACGCCAAAGATAAATGTCTAAAGCTTTAAAAATTTTGCAACAAAAAAAATTACTATCTTTATTTCACCAACAGCGCAGTATTCAATTGATTTGGTTAATTAATTACTTTCCGATTTGTTTCGCGGAATTCAAAGAAGATCCACGGAACGAAACAAATGAATTCATTTATAAGTGCCGCGTTGGCATTAATCAAATTCGCTTGCACGACGATTTATAAATCAATCAAAGTGAATGAGTGAATAATGCAATAATAAAACCAATAAATCCAATAAAATCCTTTTGCGTTAATTTAATTCGATTGAAAGCAATTAAAATCGACTAATTATAATCCAGCTCAAACAAATAAACAACTAATTTAAATTCAAACATTAAAATCTGTTTTTTTTTTTTGTTGAAAATTTACAATGTACCTAAATTCACGGTGAATAAATCAGTATAATTGTCATTAATGCAAGCATTAATTCGCGTGCACCCTTAAAAACGTTCCGTTGCGATTGTAGACAATCGCAGTATGAATCTGAATTGCTGCAGCCAAGTATACGCGGAGGTTGGTTGCGGGCTGTCGTTGCGTCCGCGAGTGTAAGGTAATGCTCGCGATAAATCACGCTTATTAATGGAAATGTTTAAGCGTCTGACGTTTATTGCGAATTAATGCGGTATACACGTCTCCCGACTGCCGGGACTCCTTCGCGCTGCGATTACCAACAATCTACGACCGCCAGTATAGTAAATGCAGCTGCAGTTTCTACAAACTGCCATTACCATTGCGATATTATTGAGGTTACTAGTAGCAAACTTGCAAGTTGAGATATTTCAGAAATATGCCAGAGAAGATCAACTATTTATGTCTTTCTGTGCTACTGGAATGTGTTTACGCTCCGCCCACGGCACTTACGACGCTTTAGCGCCAGCGCGCATGCGCAATTGTATAATTACGTCTTGAATCGTTTGAGTTTTCGGTCGCAACGCGGTATGCATAATAATCAACAAGCGATGCCGCTTATCTACACCGGAATGGATGAATTAGTGCGTGATTATAATCCGTGCTCTGCATTCGCGCCAGTTAAGGTGGCGCATGTTGAGTTTGCATGCGCGATTAACACCGCAGGTAAAAATTTATATTTGTTTAATATAATTTATGACCGAATGCAAATAAATGTGTGGTGATTGAGCAGATAATTGTCGGTAATAAATTATTATATTATAGCGATATAATTGAGCAATAAATACGCATAATTTTCACATTATGGGCAAATTATGATAATTTTATAACTAAGGCCATCTAAATGTGAATTTTTAAAACTTGTGATTTAAAGAAGATCAGATTTGAGGTTAAATCATAAAATGTTGGTGTTACGGTATGAGGAACATGTGTTTCACATTCGTGTTACAAGTTTCATCAATTTTTATGCTTTGTATCCCCGGCACTTTGCATTTATGCGGATTGCAATCCGGCAGTCGAACTCAAAGGAATATCGGATTTCCGTTTTCGACGATTTCAATGGCTCCAAAGCGCTGGAACAATTCCGGAGAAAGTTTTGTTTTAAATATTGATGTTTCTTTATCGTTATTACAATTGCTATTGCTTATAACTTCTATATTTACGAAAAAATCTCTTAAACTTTGTTAGGATGAAGAAAAAAAATGATTTTTTTGAATTTTTTTGTGAATTAGTTTCTATTAGTCTTTAAAATTCAGCTCATTGCTCATTGTTCAATTGTTTGCACACTGATTAGGCCACAGCATAAAAGATTACGCGAGTTTTTCGTCTCGACTCTTGATGAGCCCCAGCGAAGATGGTTGATTGAAGATGGAAGTCGAGAATTTCGTCTTTTGAGTCGTGAAATGAATGTCTCATCGACGTCCTGCGACGGCATAAACGGCCGGAACGAACTTAATTTATATTCCCTCGACGCGTGCCATCGGGCGGCGCCGCACGCAACTGGAAGTGAACCTCGGGCGCCGCTGCGGAGGCGGCAAGCAAGATCAAAGGCGCGCACGAAATCGGACGGGAGAGTAGAACATTCGTCAGGCGCATCCACTACTGCCGATATTCCGATTCCTTTCCAATCGCTTCCTATCGGGTCCTGCGATCAAATGTGATTTCGTGCGAGAGGTGCATTCAGGTGTGACTACAATTCACCAACACACAGGGTACTCATAGAAATTATTAAAAAATATTAATAAACCTCAATAATCATCGAAATTTTAAAAGTTGTGTGTGTTTATTGCAACAATAAAAAATAGCAACGAAATTTGGTAGTTAATAAGACTTTATTAAGCTAGAATGCAATGAAACCCTTTTACTATGCTGGTTTATCTGGGAATGGTTGATTGTATTGGTAAGCGAGCAATTCCGCACGTTCGGTGTGCATTCGGCGTGTTAATTTGATCGAAATTGTAGCGCAATAGCAGTGATAGTCCCTCCAATTGCTGCTTTTGACGAACGAGCTCAGGAACAGCATATACCTGCATTGCTAGAGCTGGAACGTTTTTATTTTTCTTCGGATTTTAAACGTCAGTATTATTTCCACTATTTTGACTAACATAGAATGAAACGTTTTTAAATTGAAGTATATTTTATTTCATAATAAAGCACCCCCTCTTGGCAATTTTTTCTTAAGAATTAAAATTTCATCTCTCAGATTTCCGTTTTAACTATTTTATCTGATAGGGAATAGTTCGTAGATAAAAACAACGCGATCAGATCCTATTTATCTCTTTTAGTTTACGAGATATTCGCGATAGGGGCCCGACTCGCGTTGGTCGCCATTGCCTTTAGTTTAAAAGATATGCACTATTATCGTTTATTGACTCGAATAAGCGACTCGTGTTCAGGGCACCGTAAAAGGGCAGCGGTAGAAGTGACTCGTGTTCAGGGCACCGTACGTCGGTTCATTGCATAGGCTGACTCCCAATTGCCAATTTTTTCTTATAAATTAAAATTTCATCTCCTTTATATGCATTTTAATAAGCCTACCTTATAAAAAAATTCCGTAGATTAAAACGCTGCAATGCGATCTTATTTATCTCTTTTAGTTTACGAGATATTCGCGATTGAATAAAATGCACAAAAATTGAA